TATATATATATATATATATATATATATATATATATATATATACTGTGTATACACACACACATATATAAATAATGTGCTATGTGTTATCATCATTGTATGTTCCCATAGAATGACAAAACTGGTTATCTGCATTTAACCCATCGCACCTGGGATGCACCCAGGTGGAGCAGTGTGCAGCTATGTAGGCACCTGGGGAGCAATGGGGATTAAGTGTCTTGCTCAGAGACACCACGACATGTGGGAAAGGCTGGGGATTGAACCTGGGACTTTCGGGTCCTGAATCGGCTGCCTTGCCTCTACTCCATCTCGGCCCCCAAATTGCTCCCAAATTGCCATTTTTCTGATTTTTAACTTATTATGCTCACAACACAGACAGATGGACGGACGAAGGGTATATCCATTTACCTCTCTTTGTTTTGCGATGAGGAACAAAAATATCTGCTGAGGAAGAGAACCAATGAGAAAAAGTTTCTCAAATTTTATATTCAAGAAAACTAAATTTGATTTCTGGATTAAGTCAAAGGTCTGAAATAATTACTGATAAGCAATTCCTGTTTATTAAATTCGCCTATTTCCCTAAAACGGTTTCTGCCCTTTTGCTTGAGAGGCTAAGTAACTCTAACATCTGACTGTAGACTGTAGTTGTAGACGTTCTACTATCATTAAAAACCAAGTTTGTATAAAATTTTAACTTAAACTTGATTACCAAATACTTTTTATCATGCAACTAAGTAAATAGACTGCAAATGGACAGTACTTATATAGCACCTTTCTATCTTATTAAGATACTCAAAGCTCTTTACAACAATCTGTGCCTCATTTACCCATTCATACAGCACTCTACTAGATCTCTACAAAGAATAATCAGTGCTTTTCAGATCTCATTCATACACCGATCGGACACACATCGGAGGCAATAAGGGTACAGTGTCTTGCCCAGGGACACTTTGCCAAGTGATTGTTGGTGGAATTGAACCCACAACTGTCCCATTGGAGGATGACTGCTCTAACCACTCAGGCACAGCTGCCCAAATAAGGTGACTTTGTTTCACAGAAAATTTCACATCATCATTATCAATGCATAATACAGCTCATTACGTATCGGCTATGGACCCAGGTACATATCTGGTACTTACTGGGTACAGATATGATATGTACATAGGTACCAATTGTCTATATAACCCGGTACAAATTGAGAATTTACCTGAAACATACTTAATAGTACCAGGTATCTATGGGGTCTAGGCTGTTTTATGAATGAAGTGACTTTTTGCCCTGTACTTTACTTGTTGAGAACATACTTGTGTGACTGTGATGCTCTGGGAAGAAAGAAGGGTTAGGTCTAGGCATGTAAAGGTAGTTAGAGCCTGTTTTCTTCACCTGAAATTAAGTATGAATGTTATGAAGGTAATTTCAATTAAAAAAAAAATCACCTGAGTCTCAAACTGTTCAGTCTGATCCCTGTAGAGAGGTCTTGAGTAGATGTAGATCGGCACAGTGTAGGGACGTTTAGGCAGTGCTGCCACCCTCAGTGCCTCCTGAACACGATTACGGACATAAAGTGCCACCCGGGGTGAGTTCCTCAGAGACATGTGGAGGTAGACAGAAGGAAAAAGCGCAGTGCTTCGTTGCCACAGCCACATCATCTTATTGTTCTGCTTCACAGTACCTTTGGAGCACCTCCCTGAGTAGTTTGCATTACCCCATCCATAGTTGTAGCAATCAGGAAAAAGGTAGAAGCCCCAGCGACGACTTGGGCGATTGCCAATGCCAAGACTGATTGTTTTCTCCATGAAGCGACGCCCGGCAAGCTCAAATTGGTTCTTTGCCAATTTAGAAATTTGCTTTGATGTCAAAAATGGCGCCATTTGCAGAGCATGAGCTATGGACAATTTCTGATAAATACGTTTGGATCCCCAGTTCAGGTCCCATAGAGGGCGCCAGGACTCCCAGTCAATCACAACCAGTCCAGGAGATGAATCTTGAGAGATGTAATTATTTATTTGTCGTTGTGCCTTGGCAAGATGCTCTGTTAAATTGCCATTTTGGGGGACACCACCTTTGTAGCGTCGGCGCTTAGTGATGTCAACTTTTGGGTAAAGGCCGAGGCGGTCTTCATAAAAGATGGTTAGAAACTGACCTGGAAGAGCTGCAGGAGTAGTCACAGCCTGGAAGGCAGCTGTGTCCAGTGGGATTTCCAGCTGTTTGCATTCATCAGTGGGAGCATTCCATATGGCCACAAAGGGATGGCCATGGATCAAGGGTGGTTCAGTAAGGGGCAAGGCAGTCACCAAGAAGACCGGACAAATTATACAGAGGGCAACACAGGACAGGAAAGCTGAGGCCATTGCAGGGGCTCTGTACAAACACAATGAAAAACAAATAAATGTCTAAAAGTTAAGTCTCATTTCAAAGAACATGTCTTTAAGCACTAGATTTATGAAACTGAAAGTGTTATATAACTACAGGTTACAGCCATCCGGGAGGAAAAATGAGTTGGAAGATTTTAAGGAAAAAAATCTACTAGATAATAGTGATGGTTGCATTTCTACCTTTATTCATTATAAACCAATCCAATGAGATACAAAGCATTGTTAATGGGACTATTTTATGTTAATTTTCTTGATGAGATATTCCATAATTTTTCTCAGCTTTTTAAAATACATTATATTTCAATTTTTCAGGAAACATTGCAACACTCAAGTTTGTTGCCCATTATTTGAACCTTAGGTCAGTGAGGTTTGGTTTAAATTTCATCAAAAGCAAACACCTCATAAGATTTACATCATTGTCTAACATTTGTTGCAATAACACGTTAAATTAAACATATATGGGAGATTATAACATCTTTTTGTCTTTTTTTAATTAATTTTGCAGACTAAGACATGCTCAAAAATCCTTGCAGAAAAATCTAACAAAGTAAAGTCCGATCCTCTGGATGGATTATTTTTTGTTGAAACGTTTCATCTTTAAACCAAAATATTTATTCAGTCTGAGGAGCTCCAAGAAACTCAGGGTGCATTCACACCTGATAGTCCGGTAGACTCGGTTCGGTTGGGGACCAATATTCATGACATTTTGTTGACATTTGAGCTGGTGTGTTTGCATTCACACTGCACTGTGCAGTCGAGTCAACCTGTTGAACCAACCTGTTCCCCCACTCGCCTGTGGGGGTGCTGCACCAAGAACTACTGAAAGAAACAACACAAAAACCTCTGAAGACAATTCTTCTGGAAATAAAAACAAAAATGGAGTGGCATCAAGTTTTAGGAGTTATATTTTGTCATTTTTCAAAAATGGACTCAGCATGAGCAGAAAATGAGGCAGAAGACCATGGAGAATATTTCCTGATGCATGCTCAATAATCCAGGTAGAAAAATCCAAAAAAGTTCAATCTGGTCCTCTGGACATTCAAAAAAAAAAAAAAACAAAGCAAAAAAATATAGAAACGTTTCGTCTCTCATCCAAGAGACTTCCTTAGTCTGAGGTGCTGTTTTCAGCTCAGTCTCTTAAATAGCACCTTCTCAGAAACTAAACAGCCACTGGCCAAAAGGATGGCCCAGCACAGAAGATCAACATCATCAGGCCAGGATTCTGCGGTCTACACTCATCTCCAGGCCAGCGGTCACTCTTTCAAGGATGAAGATGTGCACATCCTGGACAGAGAGGAACGATGGTTTGAGAGAGGAGTAAAGGAGGCCATCTTTGTGAAAAGAAATCGTCCATCATTAAACAGGGGTGGAGGCCTCCGGGTTCAACTGTCCCCCTCTTACAATGCTGTGATTGCTAGTATCACTCAGCCCTCTGTG